AGCACAACAAGTGAGTACTAGATACAAAATTTAAAAAAAAAAAATCATGGAATTTATATATGTATACACCATTTTACTAATATTCATTACATTCTTTAATAAAATCAAACAACCAATTTATTTATCCCATTCGTTTTCTATTTTTTTACAGCTCACAAGAGAATACAATATACAATGTTGCTGCTTGTATTATCCTGTTTTAAAACAACATATACAATATGATTTTGAACCATGTGACAACGATCCAATAGAGAGGTTTATAAATATTATAATAAATATGTAATGAATATAAATCGTATTATGATAAATATATATCGTATAATAATAATAATAATAATAATATATAATCGTATATAATATTTGAATTATTAATTTTTTCAATTATATTTTATATACAATTAAAAATAAATCGTTACAGGATAACAGCTGATCATTCTGCTGCAGCTACACTTGGAAAAGAAGCTCGTCGCTGGTCGACGAGAATAGCTCGTGAAATAAATAGCATCCGAGAAAATAATAGGAAATTACAAGTTTTATTACAATTAAAAGAGTCTGGACAAAAGGTTAATAGACAATTAATCATCATACAAATCAATTGAATTATTTTTGTTTCATTATTTATTTGAAAATAATTTATTAATAATTACATCATTTAACGATGATTAACAGACTGATCCGAATGATCCACAAGGTCCAGATGTGGATACAAAAATTGATGAACTGAAACATATTATACGACGTGCAGAGGTAAGATATGAAGGCATGAATTGTGATTCACATCAATTCTTTTCCTTATTTGTTTATTTGTTCATTAGACAGCAAAGCTAAAGGCAGAAGCGAGAATAGAATGTCTTCGAAATGGTGGAGGTTTGTTACATATCATTCTTTTTGACGAATATAATAGATTGAAATAGATTGTACATTAATATTATTTTTTTCTATTATTGTTACTTTTATAGTAAACGTTGATGAATGGCTACAAGAGGCAGAAACTTTAAGTGTTCAAGATATGCCACGTTCAGCTAGTTCTCTTTCTGTTAGAACTGATGCCTCGGGAACGGCGGTAAATCGTTCACTAAACTTTATTAAATTGTTTTTATAAAATTACCAATTTTTACATACATATATATATATATATATATATATATATATATATATAATATATA